TGATGGGAGATTTGATCCTCTCTTGAACACAGGTTAAGATCACTGAGAGGGACAAATCACCTAATGGTTTATGGTACTTACTTTGTACTCTTCCATAAGACATGTTGTCTCTGAGGCCAGATTTTCCTCTTGCTCCATGTTGTATCTTTAAATAAAATGGAATGGACATAACGCAGAACCTAATCATGAACTAATAAGTTTAGGAATGCCCAATGCAACATTATCGCAAACGATTCAAAACAATGTTTTAGAAGTACTCCATTGGGGTGCAAAGGTTACTGAGTCCTACTGATTCTAGGGCGAAAGGGTGGTATAGTGGTGAGAACGCTTGACCCCCAGGCCTCCCACCACCATCTGTGGCCTTGGTTCGAATCTCGGACCCAGCCTCACGCATGGGTTGAGTTTGTTATTGGTTCTTGCCCTTGTTCCCCGGGTTTTTCTCCAGGCTCGCTGGGTTTTCTCCCTTCGCAAAAACCAAAACTCCAGTTTCTAACTCAATCTCGATGCAAGAACATTTTCTTTAAAAGTCCATCACCTAAACTTTTAATGGCATGAGAAGAATGACAAACCAGTTGAACTCTGGTGGATAACCAACAAGGTTATATCTCGGTTAAGAGATTTTCAAACTATTTTTCACTTACCCTACATAACAAAGCTTTTCTTTTATCATTCTAGCATCTTCAAAGCCAATTTTGCATCCCCTGCACATAAAAAGCTGCCAAAGAATCAAAATAGATGTTATCGATATCTCAAGTTAGTGCTTGCTATTGCTCTATCATTTACGCATTGACTTGACAATACGAGTAAAGTTGGGAAAAGGCAAAGAGGTGTTGGTTGTTAATTCTCTTATCGTTATTCCCAGAGCTAACTGTGACAGAATCCCAATCTTAATTATATTCCCCACAAAGTTCGAAGCACGGATTGCAATAATGGGAGAAAGAAAAGAGGCGAGGCTTCTTTTTGAAAACGTAGCAATGCCACCCGCTGCCATTTTACCCGTTGCTTAGAATGGCTTAGAGAGGTAAATCTGTCACAGGAAGCTGGGACACTTAGCGCACTGTCTGCGCCTCTCCCAGTCGGCATTCAGCTGCAGTGTCGCATGGGAGCATCCTTGTTGAGAGCGTGAGCGCATTCCTGTTGTTGTGGTAGAGCGGCGAAGTGTTTGAACCATAATTATGGAGATAGGTAACCAGAGAGTCTTCAGCAGCGGGTGTAATGAGGAAGTAATACTGTACATGGTTTCTTACCATAGTAGACAGCTGGCAGTCTCTTATTCCTCAGGGAATCAAGCAGGGAGTATGAGGCGAGACTACTTATAAACGAGAAGGGTTTTGGACGAGACTTTTTCGTTCTTTCGACAGTTCGCGGATAAACGGTCATCGTACCCTACGGGAAAAGACCAGCTGCTAGCAATACCGGCAGTCTATATCATAGAAAAGACGTAAGCTAAGGAGGCTTCTTATGACTATTATAGCTATAACTGTAAAATAGCTGCTGCAAATCCCAAACTATTGCTGCTGTATCTGCAAAAATTAAAGCCTAGGACAGAAAAGGTATCTATCATACCCCAGACCCACCTCTCTTAGGTAATTGGTGATATCCCGACCTCCAATGTCTAATCTTTTCGTGAGATCAGGAAGCAATAATCCCTCACACACGGGAGAGATATGAGTCGATCCATCACCACAGTCTATGACCACACCCGTCAATAATCCTGTAAATGGCAGTTGGAACAACATGTTACCTGCCAACTCTTATCATATAACTGTAGTGTTTTAGGCCAATTTTCACAACTCGAGTATTAGGCAATTAAGCATGAGAAAAAGTATGCTTCATACGGCAAAACAAATATTGTATGGCCCGGGTTCGATTCCGGCATCGCGCACAGTGTCATATTGGGGTTGAGTTTGTCCTCTTCTTGTCCCGAGGGTTTTCTTCGGGTTCTCCGGTTTTCCTCCCTCCACAAAAACCAGCATTTCCACTTTTCAATTCGGCCAGGAAAGAGAACCTGCATGAAAAGCAGCTTAGGCTGCTGTGGCTTCCTCTCTAAATATTGTAAACAAGTAAACAACTGAAAAAAAAAAAAAACACAACCAAAACAATACTATTTTACAAGTGAAATTATCCTTGACGCTGCGATTGCTATCCGCGACTTTTTAAGTGATTAACGAACTGAACGTTGTTGACAGAGCTGTATGGTTAAATCATCTTTAGACTTCTTAATTAAGGAAATCTTCGGTGGTCGTCGGTATTTTTTGTTCGGAAAATCTTGGGACAATTTTAAAAACCTACAGAAAGGTTCGCCAAAAGTCAGGATTATTTATGCAGTAAAAAAATTGATACATGACTCCTTGGAGATAGAAAAAAATGTTTCTCTTCCACATTGCATGAGAGCGTAGTGAACTAGTGAGATATAGGGTGCATTCTGGTGGGGTGATTCGGGTCCGGATCGGTGATCCAAGATCACTCGGATCATGGTACATCAAAGGAACCGATGAAACCGCTCTGGTCACGGATTCATCGGCGTCATTGACGCACCATGATCCAAGTGATTTTGGATCACTGATCCTGATCCAGATCACCCCAAAAGAACGCACGCATAGCGTTGAACGTTACATGTAACACGATAAGAGAAATTTCTTATCTTCAAGCACTCGTGTATTATCTCTGCTTATTATATTGCGGTGTCCACAAGGACTGCGAACGACAGAATTCACGAATTTGATTGGCTGAAATCGATATTGACCGCGGTCTAGATCTTCCCATCTAGACCGCCATCTAGACCGATTACATTTTGCGGTGAAAAAGTTGCAAACTAAAATACAAAAATATTGACTATTTTCCTCTAAAAATATTACTGGAAGTGCCAAAAAGCCTGATGAGAAAAAAACGTAAAGACGACGAGCAAACTCGCCGTTCGAAATCAAAATGTCAGCTAGCGCAAACCAGTTGCACTAAACGAATTAAATTTTTCTTGTTTGCCATATAATAAATATCTTATTAACCAAGCTTAGTCGGTCTGTACAGGAGAATCTTGACCTCGGTCGTGTGTACAGACCGCACGCAGCACTCACTACTTCAGTCAAGATTCTCCCATACAGACCTCCTGCTCGGTTAATAAGAGCTAAGTATGATCACGCATAATGCGCAGTTTGTTAAGTTATTGTTTTGGGTCAAGTTGATTTCATTTTTAGTAGTTATTTTAGTGTTATGTATAAATAATTGCAAATGTCAGTAAACTGTGAATATAGGAGAACTGACCTCGAGCATACAGAGTTAAAATGGGTTGAATTCCAATGGAAACACCCTCGAACTTGTAGTCTTCAAACATAATCTGTTAAAAAAAGACATGGTGTATTGACTTGATTATCAAGAACAAATAACTGCCATTTCTAAGCTATACAGGTTTTAACATTGGTGGATTTTGAGAAATATTTCCATCTCTTAGATCGACCATTTTACCGATTAAAAATTAGAGCTACTAACTATAAGATAGAGCCTACTCAAGAAGCTTCAAGTGCTAGGGTATATTTCACTTTTATTCTACGTACAGAAAGTTAATCAAAAGAAAAACTGACGACGCAGAGAAATAAGTGACTTGCTGAATTAACAATTCTATGTACAGCGGAATTCTGTGAAACGACATACATCAGTGTTACTCTCTGGAAAAGCTTTCTTTGACGAGCACTTTTCGCTATTTCAAAAGTTTTGTTACTTTAAGCAAAAACTGCGCTATATTCACGCGTAAATAGGAACAAGTTGGGTGCTAAGAATGGGCTATATTCGTGTTCTCGGCATTGGACTGGAACAAGCTTGCAATGGAGGCTCATGTGGGGGAATATCGTTAAAAAGAGATAAATTTCATTTGCATTTGAAAAGACTCCCCGCATTAGCCTCACTTGCAAGCTAGTTCCAGTCCAATACCGAGAATACGAAAATGGGCTGTTCCGGAACCACGGAAATTTCCTGAGAAACCTGAGAAAATTGAGACATTCCAGAAATTCCGAAAGTTGTCGAATTTCCGACATACGAACTATTCAACCGAAAATTCCGGGAATTGAATGGGACGGATAATTTTGGTAAGACATTTTCGAAACTTTGGATATACCTAGCGAGGTATCATTGGAAAGATTGTCGGCGTGACAAATTGAGCAACCTTAGGGGAGTGGGGAGTGTAATTTTTGCTTTATCACAAGATGGGGGAGGACAAAGGGAAAATTGACCACCTCATGAGCATCGTCGAATAGTCAACAAGGGAAACAATTACAATATGTAGTGACTTTACGTTTGATTCTTTTGGATCGCGGCTCGTTCAGTACAAGTTGTTTCCTATATGTTTGTCGTAGAACGAAAATACTAAATTATCTCGAAAGTCGCGATCGCGTGACGCAAGATATCAATCCTATCCACCTGAAACAACATGAATCGAGTTCCTGTATGCATTTAAAGAATAGATATTGAAACGACAAATGAAATCTCACTTCCAGTAATGAAAGGGGAAGGAGTGGAAGTTGGGGAGGGGGGAGGGGGGGGGGGGGGGGGG